GCACCTAAGTATGTGACATCTACCCAATTCCACTGGATCAGAGGTGAACTCTGAAAAATGGAACCAAAAATGACAGAGGAGAGTGTCTAGAGGGAAGGGGAAATCCACCCAATAAGCTTAGGTAAATTTCCAATCAATATCCCCTCCATTTTCCAGTTCCCATAATGTGTTGCATTATCTGTGGAAGCTAAAGATCAAAAGGGAAGCAAGAGTTCAACTTTTCCAACTGAAGTAGAAATAAGTGCCTGCCTTATTGCACAGATGTTAGCAAAGGTGCTGGCCTCCAGTGTCATAATTTCAACTCCAAGCTTAAGTAGAAAAGCCTGAGCACTGAAGCTGGGCTGTGAGTCAGAATATCACTAATTTCCCCCATCCACAAGCCATGTCCCGTCTCCTAAGTACTTCACACTCTCCAAACATAAATGTCTTTTTCAGCTCTGATGATTTTTTTTTCCCCGAAAGTAATGACCGTCCACCTAGCTAAAGGAATACTAACAAGGGAACAGACCAGAGCGAGAAACTATATAGCAATGCAGAGCCCTGGTCTACACACAGCCACAGACCTGGAGTGGGGGGAGTTTACAACAGATGTCAGGACTTGGAGATGTGCTCTTTAGTCACCACCGATGCATGGGTTGGGAGAACACTCCCAGAGTGAGAGCCTAGGTCTGACCTTGCTTTCAGTCAAGGCCTCCTCACTGTCGCCTCCTGGACCTGAGATCTCACCCAACTCTAGTTTGTCATCTGTGAAGTTGGGGCAATACCTTAAATACCTTGTATAAGACTATGAGGAATAAATAATAATAGGTATTATATACAATAAATCACCTGAGTACACAGCAAAGGTTCTGGCAGATAAGCAATCAAAACTTGGTAATAATTGGTTACCAGGAATCAGAAAAGTATAAGTCTGTTCAAAGTCTGTCAGCACCCCAAAACAAGAGGGTCTGTTTTCCTCCAAAGGTATCGATGAACTATAATATAAAAAACACAAAAAACAAAAAAAAAAAAACCGAGTCTGCAGAGATGGCTCAGCAGTTAAGAGCACTGGCTGCTCTTGCAGAGGACTGAGGTTCAGTTCCCAGCACCCACATGGTGACTAACAATGTAACTCCAGTTCCAGGGGATTCAACATCCTCTTCTAGCCTCTGCAGGCACTGAACCCAGGTGGTGCACTTACACACATTCAGGCAAAACACTCATACACATAAAATAAAAATAAATGAATATTTTTAAAAAATAGGTGATAGAAAAGAGTATGAAAATCTTGAATAAAAGAAAATCCCCTGGTAAAGTCACCATTTATCATCCCAGGATACGCATCCTGGAGGACAGTAGATGAATCTTATACACCTGAGGCTGTGATAACAGGAAGGATGGGGCTGAGAGGGAGTCAGGGCACCAGGAGCTTGGAGTTGGCCCCAGGCTCCCCTCCTTAGAGCAGCCTTGCCCAGCTCTGCTTCATGTGCTTTTCCCACCTTATCGCGTTGGTTCTAAGTTGTCTTCCCTCCAGTCCAATTCCCAGTCTGAGGTTCTGTTCCCAGCACCCTCATGGTGAGTAACAATGGTCTGTAACTTCAGTTCCAGGACATCCTTTGCCCCCTTCTGGCCTCCATGGGCACTGTACTCATGTGGTGCACCTACAGATAGGTAGGCAAGAAACTCATACACATATAATAAAAAATAATTCGTTGGGTATGGTGGCATTATTATATATTATTATTTTAAAAAAGAAGGAAAGCCCAATTCAAGTTCTAGCTTAGGGACCAACTCATTTGGGTTTTTTTGTTCTTTTTGAGACAGGGTCTCCCGGTAGCCCCAGCTGTCCTGAAACTATGTAGACTAGGCTGGCCTTGAACTCATAGAGATCAGTCTGCCTCTGCCTCCCAAGTGCTGGGAATACAGGCGTGTGCCACCACACCCGGCTGGGACCAACTCATTTGTAACTCAGAGTCAATCACTTCCACTTCTTCATCTATAAATTGGGAATATTTTATACTATACTCTGACTACATTAAAGACTAGAATCAATGACATGGGCCTTGGGGGTGGGGACCCAGCCGTAGAGCACTTACGCAGCACCTGCCTCCAAAAAAAAAAAAAAACGCCAACAGGTAAAGAAAAAAATGTTTACTTCATGAAAGAAATAGCAATAAGTAAATCCAAAGTCTGATTACTATGAAAATGTCACACTCAATATCATGCAACATAAATTAATGACGGCTCTTACTTTTTTAAGAACATTAGTTCTGATAGCCTTTTAATCTGTTCATACAACAGTTGTAAGAAGGAGATAAATGGAAGCTCCTCACAGAGCCCAGATCAGATCAAGCCCACAAATGCCTGCTAGTCCAGCTTCAACCATCCTGGCCACTTCTCAGATGTCAGTACAGGGAGAAATTAAGTAATGCTTCTAGTTCCACTTAGCCATGTCAAACCAACACAAGTGAAATCCTCACCTACAAGAGTAATCAACAGATCAAGGAAAGGATCAGTTCTGCTGAGTGGAAGTTAAGATCTCTTCTAGGGCATGCACCCATGTTTTCTTTTAAAAAGCAACATACTGTGGCTAGAGACATGGTTCAGTGGTTTAAGAGCACTTGCTGCTTTTGCACAGAACCTGGGTTCAGTTCCCAGCACCCATGTCAAGTGGCTTACAACCGTAACTCTAGCTCCAGGGGACCCAACACCACCTTCTGGCCTGAGGGCACCCGCACACATATGGCATATGGCATACACTCACACAGGTACACACATACACATAAGTAAAAATAAAAACAAATCTTTAAAAGTAAAGATATCTCCAGGTACAGTGAGTCACACCTGCAATTTCAGCTCTCATGAAGTAGAAGCAGAAAGACTGGGAGCTCCTTGGCTACATAGAAAGATCAGGTCATCCTTGGCTACATAGTTCAAGGCTAGCCTGGGCTAGCTAATGACACTTTAGCTCAAAAAAAAAAAAAAAAAAGTTGGCAATCACTGAAGCAGGAGGATGGAGAGTTTGAAACCAGCCTGGGTTACATAGCAAGTTGAGGCCAGCCCGGACTACACATAGACAGGTCTTATCTCAAAACAACAATAACACAAAAAATTCATGAGACAGATGGAAAAAACTCAATTTTTCCTTGTTTGAGTTTTATTTTTAAGTCCAGAAGTGTTTCATTTACAACTTCCTATTAAAATGTCCAGAAAACTGAGAGGGAGTGGGAAAGGAAGTGAGGGGGAGCTGATCTCCCTAGTTCAGGGAAAAAGCATGCAGTTAAAACAGCTTCCAAATCCACCCCCTTCACAGCTTCCAATCAAAGAGGAAGGAAAAATCTATTTCCCTTTATTGAACACCTACTATGAACCCAGCACCACGCTAAACACTCTTCCTACATTATTTCCAAAGCCCATTTTCTCTCCCACACCTAGAAACAACATGAAACAACATCCCAGACAGGTGGAAAACCAATCTGTAGTAGTTTTAGATATTTCAATTGTCTATGATAAACACAAAATAGTGCTCTAGCTGAGGCACCAGGTCCAAGTTCTAAAAGATTCTTTGCAGAAGAAACTGAATGCTGCCTTAGTTATAATTCTGAAATTAACTTGTGGTACTTAATACACCATTAAAAGATGCTTTAAAACTTTTATAATCTCATGTGTAAGAAAAGCTCACTGTAAAGCAAAAATAACCCGGGCCAAGTTTCTCACCTGAGGACATGTGACAGTCAAATAAAGGCCCTTAAGAGATGTGTTCACAGTGAACAGCACCTGTATGGCCAGGTCATGAATGGATTTATTCCTGCTGGGAAGCAGTTATCTGTATTAAGATGTTGTTCTCCTCATAAAACCTCTCTGACAGTCAGCCTAAATGACTGTGTATATGGCAGTCCAATGGAGTCAAACACACAAGGATGTCCTAGTATTTAAATGCTAGTCTTTCCATTCCATTTCACATATTTTAAACAAACAAAAAACACTACCTACATGTCATCTCCATTGCCCTGCATTAACCCATTTCAAAAAAGCCATAATTAATGTCTGCCTTAAACACTAATATTAAAGCAACACCAAACACGGTGTATGTTCTTGGAAATACTTTCTGTGTTCCCAGACTCTGTAGAAAAATCAGCCAAGATACAAGGCTAGTCCACACCTGTAAAGCCTGGGGCTCCTGAAGGACCCTCTTCTTCCCAACAACAGTTGTGAAAGAGCTGAAAGATGCGATCTCTGCCAGGCAGAGATGCCAGAAACTTGCAACCGGCCATCATGCCGTCTGGCTTTTTGAGAACACCAGACAAGCCCATATCTGGGTAGGCCTCCTCAAGGTTATTCTTAAGCTGGGGATGTCCAGTGTGCCACGGAGACCTCCAATAGTGCTGTCACAGCTGGGGGGGATAAGTATGTGTGTGTGTGTGGGGGGGTGTCTTCTGATAAGAGGCCTCGGTGGCTGCCATCACCCCATTCAGTCCACCACCAGACGGAAATGTCAAGAGTTCTCCCATGGCCACCTGCCATAGACCTCAGCAACCTACACACACCGTCTGCCAGCCTCCAGGTCAGGGGCATGTGGGCAGTACTTAGCCCGGGAAGGTTGGGCCAGTGCGCAGCCCCAGTCCCCAGCCCCGTGGCCCTGCTAAAGAGGCAAGGCTTGGTCCCCATCCCGGCAAAGCCTCCCGAGGACACCGCGTGCAAGCTGCTCCCTAACTACCCCCTGGGGAGAGACCTGTGGGCGCGCCCAGGCAAACTTGACCTACCACCCGACTCCTAGAGGTCAAGGACAGCGACCGGGCAGCGCGGACCGCGCGCGGAGGGGTATCCTAGTTGGCGTGGATCCCCTCGCAAGTGCTCCGGGCCCGACGTGACCGCCAGAAGGAGGCGCCAGGAGGCCCGGGGCCTCCGGATGCCCAGGCGGGAGGTCTGCAGCCACACGTCGGGTCGCCACGGCCACCCGCGCTACAGCCGCCCGGCGGCCAGCAAGTCGAGGCGGAGCTCCCCGGGGGCTCGGTGCTCACCTCTGCTTCATGCTGCTGTGTCCCCCGGCGCCGGCGTCCTAGTGGCCGCCAGCCCCAAGCCGGGACCCGCAGCTGCAGCCCCGCGCGCCAGCCCGCAGCGTCTGGAGCAGCGGCAACAGCAGCGGCAGCGGCGGCGGCTGCAGGAGGAGAGGCGGCGCCGCAGGGGCTGGGCGGGCACATGGGAGGGCGGGGGCTGCGGCCCTGCAGGCTGAACCACGCGACCCGATGGGGGGGCTCTCATGCGCCCTGGAGCATGCATGCTCTCCTGGTCCTTAGTGACCCCGTTTCCACCTCTAGGCTCTGGTGGGTCAGTATTTCATGGGTCACATACAGACCGTAAAGGAATGGACTGCTGCCAGTCCCTCTCTCATGTTCAGCCTCCCCCTCGCCACGGCACAGCCCATATGGTACATTCTTGAAAGGCCCAGCGGAGTGGGAGAGGACAGAGGTGATTGGCTGGGAATCTTGGAAGGGGCGAGAAGCCACACAAAACGGCCAACGGGATAGCACCAGGGGCTTATCCGAGACGGCCAGACCTTGGGGCTGGGAGCACGCACTTAAAGGGGATGTTTGTTGCGCTCAGAAGCCGCCACCAAACAAAGCTAGAATTTTCTTTCTGATCTCATCCCGAAGAGAAACAGAGTAGGGAAGCCTCAGGTTTTCGGAGAAAACATAAGAGAATTTAATCCGTATTTTATCTGTATGACCTTGAGTGGGTAGTTCCAACTCTCTGCCTCAGTTTCCTTTACTAAAAATCCAATGAAGATGTTAGCTCACAGTTGACCTCTAGAGGCCCTGCTCTTATTTCAACATCCTTTTGCTCGGGATTATTAATCTCTTCAGTTCCGGGCTTGGCCTGCCATCTTAAGGAATTTTGTATGCTCTTGGGACGGTGGCACACGCCTTTAATCCCGGTACTGGAGAGGCAGAGACAGGAGGACCTCTGAGTTCCAAACCAGTCTGGTTTACATAGAGTTCCAGGTCAGCCAGGACTATATAGTGAAATCCTGTTTTAAAAAAAACAAACAAGGGCTAAAGAGATGGCTAAGTGGTTAAGAATACTCCCTGCTCTTCCAGAAGACCTGAGTTTTGCTCCCAACACACACATGGTGGTTGAAAATCAGCTTTAACTCCAGTTCCAGGGAATCCTACTCCCTCTTCTGGTTTCTGTTGACACTGCATGCCGGTGGTGCACTTAAGATATAGGTAAAACATACACATAAAATATAAAGTGGAAGACAGGCAAAACACCCACACATAAAATATAAATAAAGTGGAAGAAAAAGGGAACACGATGAGCTATATTTAAAGAAAAAAAATTTGTTGAGAATGGGTAGACTTTCTGACACCACGTCTTTCCAGAGACTTACGTAAAGGCTGATGGTGTGTCGCTGGATGGTTAAAGACCAATTCTTCCTACACAGAGACCCTGCTTCGAGTATCTCCTAAGGGCTACTCTTCCAGAGTCGCTCCTTCCTCCTCCACCCTTCCGCCTCAGAATCAGATGAATCTTCAGTTCATTCCTGACTTGTTGAACTGTCCAGGATTCCTGCCTCAGCAGCAAATCCCACAGGCTGGCCCTCAGTGCTGTTGAAGACAGTCCCTATCTGAAGTCTGTAACACAGCATGCAACTATACAGGGCTGACTGTGTTTATAGTTCTACTCCAGCTCAAGCTGAAGACTTCCAAGCATTTGTGCAGGCCTAGTCTGCCATATTTTAGAGGTTTGTTTTTGTTTTTAAATATGGAATGTTTCATGAATTTGCATGTCATCTTTGCCCAGGGGCCATGCTAATTTTCTCTGTATCACTCCAATTTTAGCATGTGTGCTGCCGAAGCAAGCATGGTATCTCAGAGTTTTACTCCAGGAACCTAGACCTGGAGTTGCTACCAAGCTTCAGGCCAATTCCTCTTTTTCTTTTTTCTTTTCTTTTCTTTTCTTTTCTTTTCTTCCCCCCTCTCTCCCTCCCTTCCCTCCCTTTTCTTCCTTCCTTTCTTCCTTTCTTTCCTAACCTTTATTTTACTCTGTGTGTGTGTGTGTGTGTGTGTGTGTGTGCGCGCGCACACATGCACGTACCACAGGGTCAAAGAACAACTTTTAGGACTCATTTCTCTCCTTCTACCATGGGGTCCAGGGATCAAACTCAAGTGGTCAAGCTTGGTGGCAAACTTTTTCCTGCTGAGCCATCTTCTGACTATTATCCAAAGAAGGCCGGAAAGTCCAGTTCTGACTTGTTGCCTGTCTGGAGGGCCGATGGTAGCTACTGGCATGCAAGGGCTCCTATTTCTACCTTGTGGCTCCATAACTCTGATTTTCAGTGTTTTCTACCCCCCAAAATGCAATCCTTATTGACATATTTCCTTCTTTCACTAGTATCCAGCAGCAGCTGCTGCGGCTTCTGTTTATTAACTGTTATGGTTTAGACAAGACATGTCCTTCAGAAAGCCTCGTGTACTGGATACTTGGTCTTCAGCTGGCCGTACTATTTTGGGAGGTGCTGGAAACTTTAGGAGGTGGGGCCTGACTAGTTGAAGTAGGACACTGGGAATCAGTCCTTGGAGTTTCTTGTCCCTTGCCTCTTCCTGTCTCTCCTGCTTCCTGTCCACCATAAGGTGCGTAGCCTCTGCCACATGCTCCCACTGCTTTGATATTCTGCCTCCGAGCAGAGGCCCAATACCAACAGTGCAAAGAACCATGCATGGAAACCTCTGAACCCGTGAATTAAAAGAAATCCTTCTGGGGTTGGAGAGATGGCTCAGTGGTTAAGAGTGTGTACTGCTCTTCCAGAGGACCCAAGTTTGGTTCCCAACACCTACATCAGGTGGCTCACAAACACCTGTAAGTCTAGGTCCAGAAAGATCTAACACCCCTGGCCTCTGCACAGGCACACACATAAACATAATTAAAAGTGATAAAAATAAATCTTGGGCTGGAGAAATGGCTCAGCAGTTAAGAGCACTGGCTGCTCTTGCAGAGGACTTGGGTTAGATTCCCAGCACCCACAAAGCAGCTAACAACTAACCATACTAATTCCAGTTCCAGGGGATCTGATACCCTCTTCTAACCTCTGAGGGCATTGCATGGCATGGGTGCATTTACTTAGGCAATACACTCATACACATAAAAAACTTAAAATAATAAATGTAAAAAATTTTTTTCTGTCCTTTTTGTGATAAGGTCTCCTCCCTTTGGCCCCACCTAGCTTGGAATGTGCTATGTAGACCAGGCTTGACTCAAACTCACAGAGATCTGCCTTCTCTGCCTCCCTGGATGCACACCTTTAATCCTACCACTCAGGCGGCAGAGGCCAGTAGATCTTTGTGAGTTTGAGGCCAGTCTGGTCTACATAGCAAGTTCCAGGTCAGCTGAGGTCAAAGGGAGACCCTGTCTCAAAAAGCCCAAAAACAAAACCAAAAACAAATAAATATTATGAAAATAAATGAAAATAAATCCTCCTTTAAATTGTTTGTCAGGTATTTTGTCACCACAATGATGAAACTAAACAGTACACCATTTGCTATGTGATGTTGGGAGGGGTTTGTATGTATCATTTCATTTCATCCTCATATCAGCGCTATGAAGTACATTATTTCCATTCATACCATATTCTTCCTGAGAGAAAGCAGCTCAGAGAAGCTGATCTGCCTAAATGTACACAGAGGCCTGGCTCTAGCCTTACAATCCTGCAGTGCAATGCTTTTTTGTTTGCTTTTCTAAAATATCTTAAATATTTTATTTATTATTATTATTTGTCTTTTTGAGACAGGGTCTCCTTATAGTCCCAGCTGTCCTGGAACTCACTATGTAGACCAGGCTGTCCTCGAACTCACAAAGATCTGCCTGCCTCTGCCTCCCAAGTGCTGTGATTAAAGGCGTGTGCTACCACGCCCAGCTATTTATTATTTTTTATTTTATGTGTATGAGTGTATTGCCTGCCCCTATGTAAGTGTACCTGTGCCATGCAATGCCCACAGAGGCCAGAAGAGGGTCTTGGATCCCCTGGAACTGGAGTTACAGATGACTGTTAGCTGCCACGTGGGTGCTGGAAACTGAACCCGTTTCCTCTGCAAGAGCAGCCAGTGCTCTTAACTCCTGACCCTCCAGCCCTCCTTTTTGGTTTTAATCTACTACATTCCATACAAAAGATTATGCTCAGCAATGCTAGCGTAGATTATGGCTTAGCGTTCTTTTTTTGGGGGGAAGGGGTGTCTTTTTAAGACAGTCTCTCTGTAGCCCCAAATGGCCTGGATCACACTATGTAGACCAGGCCTGCCTCTGCCTCCCAAGGGCTGGGATTAAAAACATAGGCCAGCCAGGCGTGGTGGTGCCCATAGTCCCAGCACTTGGGAGGCAGAGACAGGCAGATCTCTGTGAGTTCAAAGCCAGCCTGGTCTACATAGTGAGTTCCAGGACTTCTGGGGCTACAGGGAGACCCTGTTTCAAAAAGACAAAAACAAACAAACAAACAAAAAAACATAGGCTACCATACATTTTGGTGGCTCCGTTTAGCATTCTTGAAGCCTTGGATTTGATCCAGAGACAGATAGGAGAATGAAGGGAGGGAAGGGTAGAGAGGGGGGAAGATAATTTCATACACTTATGTTTCTATATTTGGAATATCATTTGAGCCTTATACCAATATGTGGGAGTTAGTAGAAGTTTGATTACAGAAGGAAGGAAAATGCAGCTCACAAAGCAGACCAATTTGGCCAAGATTAAGAAGGCTAATCAACACAGTACTTAGGAGACAGAGGCAGGAGGACTACAAGTTCCAGGACAGCCTGGTCTACATAGCGGGATCCTGCCAGGAAAGGAAAAAAAAAAAAAAAAAAAAAAAAAAAAACAAAACCACAAAGGCTGGGCTATGACTCAATGGTAGAGTGATCAGGTAAAGTGTGCGTTGTCTTGAATTCCTCCCCAAGACCTCTAAAAATAAAATAAATAAAATGGATCCTGAGTTTCCAAGTTGTACATTCTGTCTGTCCACTTCAATCTCCAGCTCCCCTGCAAACTTTTTACAGCATGTAACAACTAGGCAACAATTGTAAGCAGCAAGGAAAGAAAAACAGAATAGAAAACCCTGTGCTGTAAGTTCAAGGGCTATGGCATAAGAAGTGCTTCCAGTAGGCAGAAAACAAGAAAGACTTCTGGAAGAGCCAGTGTGGTGGTTTGAGTAAGTGTCCCCCATAGGCTCCAGGTATATTTGCATATCTGGCCCCATTTGATGGAGCTGTTTGCAGAGGTTTAGGAGGTATGGCCTTGCTGGAGGAAGCACGTCACTGGAGGTGGCCTTTGAGGGCTCATAAGCCTCATTCCCAGTTCCAGTTTTGCTCTCCCTGCTTCCTGTGTCTATTTGAAGATGTGAGTGCTCAGCTTTCTACTCCAGCCACCTCACACCATGCCTCCCCGCTATGATGGACTCTTATCCCTCTGGAAGTGTAAGCCTAATAAACTCTTCCTTCAAGTGACCTTGGTCATGGTGTTTATCACAGCAACAGAAAAGGAACTAATACAGCCAGTAACACAGAGTATTTTTTATTACTGGCTTGCTATCCCTGCTCTGCCAGTGAACTGATGTCTTCGACACATCGCATATTCAATAGCAAAGGCAAGAAAACTTTTCCTGATGCCTGGAATGTGTGGATCTGGAATGAGTCCTGTGTGCATGAAGAAGGGCCCTGTGCATTGCCCCTGAACCATTTGTTTAGTAAAATATCCTGATCTACTGGCAATTGGAATACAACCCTGAAAATATAGACTAGGCTAATTATTTCATTCTTTTTAATCTGTTAAAATCCTAGCAGTGGGGGACACACTAATAAAATTCTGTGGGAGTGGGTTGGCAAGATGGCTCAGTGGGTAAAGGGTCCTGTCACTACCTTTTTTTTTGGTCTTTTTGAGACAGGGTCTTCCTGAAGCCCCAGCTGGCCTGGAACTCACTGTGTAGACCAGGCTAGCCTCAAACTCACAGAGCCACCTGCCTCTGCCTCCCAAGTACTGGGATTAAAGACGTGTGCCACCAAACCCGCATGTCATACTACTTTTATGTGTCTGAGTGTTTTGCCTGCATGTATGTAAGTGTACCTCTGCAAGCAGTGCCTGCAGAGGCCAGAAGAGGGAGTCAGATTCCCTGGAACTGGAGTTATGGATTCCATAGCTGCCGTGTAGGTGGTAGGAACTGAACCCAGGTCCTCTGCAAGAGTAGCCAGTGCTCTTAACTGCTGAGCCATCTCCCAGATCCATAATTTAAAAGTTTAGGGAAATATCTATGTATTTTTATTTTATGTGTATGAGCGTTTGCCTTTGTGTATGTATGCACATCATGTGCATCCTGGTGCCAGTGGGGGCCAGAAAAGAAAATCAGATCCCCTGGAACTGGAGTTACATATGGTTTTTAGCTGTTATGTGGGTGCTGGGAACTGAACCCAAGTCCTCTGCAAGAGCAGCAAGTGCTCTTAACCACCTAGCCACTGATCCAGACTCTGGGTTTTTTGTTTGTTTTTTTAAAATAAATCAGGCTCTCATATTGTCTAGCTCGGCCTTGAACTCCTGGAATCAAATGGTCCTCCTGCCTCAGTCTCCCAAGCAGCTGGGTGTACAGGTACAAAGCAGTAGTACCACACCCAGTTTACCAAACCCAGTTTCATTGTTTCATTGTTAGTGATTTGTGATTTGATGTATAGTTTTCTTGTATCCCCTGCCCCCCCCCCCCCGCTGTGTATTTGTTTCTTTTTTTGTTTGTTTGGGGGTTTGGGAAATGTTGTTTTGTTCTATTCTTGGTTTTGTTGGTACTTCTTGCTTATTTGGTTGGTTGGTTGGGGGTTTTGGTGTTTTGGGGTGGGGT